TTTGTCCACCCCAGTCCAACATCGGCACCTCCACATCTATAGTGTGAATTGGTTTCAAGACATCAATTTTATTTCCCTGAGTTCTCTAGCCTCCATATCTTTCTCCACAGTAAATACTGACATATTAATAATGAAATAGATTAATAAATAAATAACCTAGACAGGATCCAATCCTTCCATTTTCAACAACATGGTTATACCCCTTATAAATCTAGGTTTCTTTACATTCAACCATCTTTACTTTTGCAGAATATCCGCATATAAGCCTTAAAGATACAAACTTTCGCATTCCTCCTCTTCTATCTGGATTGTTTGGTACAAAATTTAGCTGAAAGTAAAAGCCACTTAGAAGCACAAGTTGTGAAAAGAGCAAGTACTTGAAAGTATTAATTGTGGATGAACAAGTGATTGCACTGACAAGTTTCGTTGGCCAGATTTGCATGGGTTCCATGCATATTTGTGCAAGTTGATCGTGCTTAGGGATAAAGCTCTTACTTCTAAATCAGAAAGATTATTGAGAATTCAAATCCCTCTGAAGAAGCATGAGCCCATAATCTAGGTTAACACTTCAGCACGGTATTGAGGGAGGGCTGCACTAACAGATTTGACATTAAACCAAAGCCCTCTGTTTACTCTTTCCACTGCTGCTTATAGTTACTCCTGCCTTCTTCATACATCCATTGCAGTTCATCAGCAATTATTCTGTGAAATCCAAGATACAATTACGCCTGGACCAATGTCGCTTTCTGTGGCTCTCCACTTTGCGTTCTGTAAGAGATTTTTGTAGTTCTTCACCTCTGATCAAAGGGTCAAAATACTGACATTTTCTTTTCTGGAATTCTCTTCTTAGAGCTCTTTCTCAAGTAACTCTTCATTTGCCTTAAAGTCTATATGTAGAAATTTTAGAATGCGTCTTAACATTCACATTTCACAAGCCTCTATTTTCTTCCATTACCTTTACTGATTACCCTGTAAACTATTTCATAGCATTTTTTAATTGGAAAAAAAAAGGGCAGGAGATATATTCCTTGTGTCCCTGGCTAATTTTATCCTTCAGCCAAAATCACCAAAACAGTTTATTTGGTTGTTATTAGATTGTGGTCGTAGGGAACCGTTTCCAACATTACAGCAATGATCTCACCTCAAAATTATTTTATTCCATGTAATACATAGAATCCTTACAGTGTGGAAACAGGCCCTTTGGCCCAACAGGTACACACCAACCATCAAAGCATCCTTCCCAGACCCATCTCCCTATAACACACCTAATTTACACATCCCTGAACACTATGGGCAATTTAGCATGGCCAATCCACCTAACCTGCACACCTTTGGACTGTGGAAGGAAACCAGAGCACCCGGAGAAAACCCACACAGACACAGGTAGAATGTGCAAACTCCACACAGACAGTCACCCAATGGTGGAATCAAACCCAGGTCCCTGGTGCTGTGAGGTAGTAGTGCTAACCACTGAGCGACTGTGCTGCCCTCAAATGTGATGTGCTGTTGATGTTATGACGACAGGAAAGGCTGTATAAACATATGAATTCTTCCTTGCTTTATTTCTTTCAGAACAATGGAGATAGAATATCACCCTATGCAGTAGAAACCAGTTATAAATAAATAAAATTAGTTGTTATTGATATATAAAAATAGGTGGCATCTGTAGTGGTTTAGCACTATGTCTATACTGCTCCAAGGAGCAGAATATTTATTTCTGTCCTGAGAAAGGTTCACTGGACCCAAAACGTTAACTGATTTCTCCTCGCATATGCTGTCAGACCTGCTGAGCATTTCCAGCAACTTCTGTTTTTGTTTCTGATTTACGGCATCTGCAGTTCTTTTGGTTTTTACAGAATATTTATTTCTATTCTTTCACTAGGATGTGAGCATCGCTGACTAGGCCAACATTGACTTCCCATCCTTAAATACCCTCGAGAAGTTGGCGATGAGCTGCCTTCTCGAATTGTTGCAGTCCTTGCGATGTAGGGACATCTAGATTGCTGTTAGGGAAAAAATTGCAGAATTTGATTGAGTGAAAGTTGCAGGAATGTATTTCTAAGTCGGGATGGCTTGTGGCTTCGAGGGCAACTTGTAAGTAGTGGTGTTCCCCTGTATCTGCTGCCTTTGTCTTGCTAGATACAGTCATAGAGATGTACAGCACAGAAACAGACTCTTCAGTCCAACTTGTCCATGTCAACCCGATATCCTAAATTATTCTAGTCCCATTTGCCAGCAGTTGGTCTACATCCCTCTAAACCCTTCTTCTTCATGTACCCGTTGAGATGTTGTAATCGTACCAATTCCAATCCACCACTTCCTCTGGCAGTTCATTGCATACACACACCACCCTCTACGTGAAAATGTTGTCCTTTAGGTCCCTTTTAAATTGTTACACTCTCACCTTAAACCTATGTTCTCTAGTTTTGGATTTCCCTACCCTGGGGAAAAGATCTTGACTAGTCACTCCATCCATGTCCCTAATGATCTTATAAACTTCATTTAGGTCACCCATCAGCCTCCAGCAGCTCCAGGGAAAATAGCCCCAGCCTATTCAGCCTCTATAACGCAAACCCTCCAACCCTGGCAACATCCTCCTAATTTTTTTCTGAACGCTTTCAACTTTAACATCTTTCCTACAGCAGGGAGACCAGAATTGCACGCAGTATTCCAAAAGTGAACTAACAAATGTCCTGAGATAGTAGGAACTGCAGATGCTGGAGAATCTGAGACAACAAGGTGTAGAGCTGGATGAACACAGCAGGCCAAGCAGCATCAGAGGAGCAGGAAGGCTGACGTTTCGGGCCTATTTCTGAAGAAGGGTCTAGGCTCAAAACGTCAGCTTTCCTGCTCCT